CAGTTATGTAGTTGATACATAACTGTCTATAACATATGGTCTAGGGAAAGTTGGAAAGAAGCTCATCAAGAATGAAGATGGAATTTCAATTGCGTCCTTTTCGAAGGTTCACAAACCAAGCAATAATAATTTATTTACTTATTTTCGAATATATATGTCTTGTACAGTACATATAGTTAGTTTCTCACATTCATTACGACGTTGCATTAGGGTTAATTTGCGTATAAAATATATAGAGAAGGAATGGGAAAGCGGAGATTAGAGCATGTACATTGGTCACAACCCCTAATAGGGTTCTTTCCAAAGGCGGCCGCTTCTCTCTCCGTGAGGTAAACCAACCTTGAATCTCCCCATCTTTCTTCATTTGTACTTTTTTTTGTTTGTTTGTGCGCTTGAGCAGTTCATGGAGCTATGTTTTATTCATGTGTCATACTTGTCATTGATTAGGGTTATTTCGATGGAGAAACAGCGAAAAGTGACACTAGATCTCGCCCGCCAATTAGTGAATGACAAAATCAGGTTACTTTCGGATTATGTATGCTTCTCTCCCACCACCACAGAGATCCTTGAGGAGATTAAGACCACCGTAGATGCGTTGACTTCACAAGTCCTTACTGTTCTGCCTCCACATCTTCAATCATTTTGTTCCTTTCTTACATTGCTTTCTCAAGAAAACCTATGAAATTGTGGATGATCCTGACACGAATTCGATAATATCGTGGAGCAGAAGCGGCAAGAGCTTCATAGTCTGGGATGCAACTCAATTTGCTTTGAAATTCAATCCGGAATTTTGATCAATTCTCTTGGGTCCTTGAAGCCGGGCGAGTAAGTTGTGCAAACCATTAATCCTCTCTCTTGATGTTTCGTGTTACCTAGGGCCTTAGTAGAGTCGAAGGTAGGTATCGATGGGAATTTGCTCACGAGTATTTTGTGAAAGGCCGCCCTGATCTCCTGGTGAAGATTAGCAATGCCGGCGGCATTCGCATGTGGCTGCATACATCGCCGAGTACATTACGCCGTTTTCTGAAAAGCCAGCAGGATCTTTAGGAATTAATTGCTTCCTATCCTTCGGTCTATCTTTGGTGAAACTTTCAACTGTTGCACCTTGTTTTTCTTTTGGGAATAGCATGCTTAATTATTGGCTAGTATCTATTTTGCATGAGTAACGTAGACTCTAATGAAAGTTTGGCTCAAAATCTTTTGGCATTCCTAGAGGTTAAACAAAACCGTTTGAAATGGACAACTATCCATTGCACATTTTTATTTTTATTTTATTTTCTCAGCTTTGCAGAAATGCCAAGTACTAGAGGAAAATGGATTTCATCAGTTTCTTAAATCTTTACTATGCTTAGTAATACTTCGAATAAAGACGGATTGTCATAATAACAGTTATGTGAGGTTTTTTTGGCTAAAGGTTTTTTTCACAGAGTTGGTGTTGTCTTTTTCTTATATAAGCATTCGATTATAGACCGTGGATTTGCAAAAATAAAATAAAATGAGTGTCTCATTTGGCAGTTTACACAAATACATTGCACATCTACAAATATATATAGGGCGAATTTGCTTTCATCTCTTCACCAATACATTTTAACACCACCTCTCCAAAAAAGTTTGTAAACACATGGCTTCTCTACCAATTTCTGGAGGGTCTTGGGACGAAGAAGAAGATATGTTACTAGCAATGCAGCTAGCTGGACTAAGCATTATCCCTTACGCGGTAAACACTGCTAGAGAATTAGCTTTGTTCGAGATTATGGCTAAAGCCACACCCTCATGGACCCATCTATCACCGTTGGATTTGGCATCAAAGGCTGCACCGAAAAATCCAGATGCTCCAATGATGATAGATCGATTGCTACGCCTCCTTGTCGCATATTCGGTGTGCACTTGTAGGTTGGTGAAAGACGAAGAAGGAAGAGAGTCTAGAACATACGGATTAGGGAAAGTTGGAAAGAAGCTCATCAAGAATGAAGATGGAATTTCAATTGCACCTTACGTGCTTTTCCAATGTTCACAAACCAAGGGAGTTGTATGGTATGAGATTGTATAATAATTTTTCTTTTCTGTAAAAATCGTCAAAGGTTGATATTCGGTATAAATATAATGAGTATATGATATTATAATAATACGAGATTCTTTGCATGAAAAGGTCTTACCTCACGGAGTCGATGCTAGAGGGCGGAGCATCGGCATTTGAAATATGTAATGGGGCATTGTTCTTTGAACACGTGAAGCAAAAAGAGTATTTCAAGGAGGATTTTAACGAGTCGATGATGAGTCATACATCAATTGTAATGAAGAAAATATTGGAGAATTACGATGGATTTGAGAGTATGAGGGATTGCACATTGGTAGATGTAGGAGGTGGCTTAGGCATTAATCTTGCCCAAATTCTCTCCAAGTTCCCACATCTCAAAGGTATTAACTTTGACTTGCCTCACATAGTCTCAGAAGCTCCCAATATTCATGGTACGTAATT